ACCCGCTGCGTGAAAGAAGTAAAACCAATTCCCAGAATCTACGAGGAGGAGGTAACCAAGCTTCAATCCGATGATTGGAACGACGACGCAGAGAACACAGTCAGACAACTACCCACCTTTCAGTCCACTAAGAAGTGACTGTATAACGCTCGACGTACTCAGACTCCCCATGATAATTCAGGACATCAACCTAGAGGGAAAGTGGACTCAGACAACTGCCGGAGAGGAATTCCTACTACTTGATCATGGTGACCAATCCAGGAGTATAGCCTTCGCGACATCCGACAACTTGATAGACATCTGCAACGCCAACACTCTCTTCTGTGATGGAACGTTGTAAACGTGCCAGACTCAGTTTCAGCAGATCTACACCGTCCACGCCAGGGTTGGAGACCAGATGTACCCACTTGTATACAGTCTACTTCCCAGCAAGAGCCAGGCAACATAACAAAGATTATTTACACTCCTCAAGACCAAGATGACAGAACTCAACCTCCAACTCAATCCCACCACCGTTTTCCAAGACTTTGAGGCTGCTGCCAAGAACGGAACGCCATCCGCGCAGTGTTTTTCCAGCTGTGAGTTTGAAGGGCTGTTTCTTCCGCTATACACAGTGTATTTGGAAGAAAGTCCAGCAGACCGGACTTCAACAACTCTACGCCAACAACGACGATGTCCGACAACTTGTACGGCGTGCCGCTGTACTACCTCTTGTTCCGTTAGACCATGTAGAAGATGTCTGGTTCAATGCGCTGGAGGACATAGACGATGCTGATGTACCACAGGACACCACTCCATTTACAGATTACGTCGTGACACTGTAGATTGACCGAGATCAACAACTCTGGAACCACATTGAGACCGAGGGACCCACCCCAACATCTACAGCATCATCCGCGTCTTCCAGGAAATACAAGTCAACAACGAGATAACGCGCATCCAACACGCAGCAGAAGGACAACTCAGACCAAGAGCAAAACGCTACCGTAACATCGACAGCCGCCTTAACCAACGAAAGGAACGCTTGGAGAATGGTACAACAGATGTAATCCAGGATGCCGACACAGCATCCCATATTTTGCATTTAGAGTGACATTTTGATAAATGTGTTTGCTATGGATTTTTTTTTTTTTTTTTGGTGCTTTGCTAGGATTTCTTAAAATTATGGACTTTTCATTATCTGTGCTTTTATGGACTTTCCAATATTTCACCTTTAGTAAGTTAGTGCTATTATACTAGTTGTATGTCATGTATCTTTTTGCATGTGTGCATTTTATGAATATGATTGATTTGATCAGCCGGTCCTAAGTATTCCATGTGTACATGTAATTTATTTTGTTTTATTTATTTTCATTCCCAGCTTTGCATACGTTTTTGCATATTTAATAATGTAATACATGATCTCTGTCTTTACTGATTATATTTCTCATAAATTGCTTGCTAAATTTAGTTCTATTTTATGAAATATATATATAACATACATGTAAATGTATAGTAAAAATGTATAAAATTCATTTAATATGAAATTGATAAAAGCAGGTTTTCAGTTAATGTATTTTGATGTGTATTTAGTAATAACTGGAATCTTGTATATATTTATTCATAATTCCAGTAAATATTACGAAAATCAGGAAATATATGTTAAATATTCCTATAAGTAACACAGTATTTCCTATTGGTGAACAGGTAAACACAGGTAAATAATCTACCTGTACTATACCAGAATAGACTATAATGACACCTGTATAGTTTTCCAGTGTTTAAATAATACCTATGATCAGAAAAATGTGGGAGAAAGGAGAACAAACCGTGGAAATTATAGCAACACCGGGTAAACAATAGTACACGTTTATCGAGATGATATATAATGTATGTAAACATCCGATATCGAGAAATTTGTAATCACACGTACTTCAAGAATAAAGATTCCGATACAAAGAAATTAACTGACTCACGGAAAGTTACTTACATGACATGAGACCAGACGACTTCAAGAAGGTCATATATGAAGCACATGGCATGCGGACTGATAGGGTTTGTGTACCAACCTTACATGTGCATATCACGTGCTTACACCAATCCACAAGCTCGAGGTCGTTATGGCTGTCGCTGTCGGGCGAGTTACGCTGTCAATTACGCTCTGTCGAGTAAATCGTTTTAATAAATGCAGTTCACTGACTCTGTTGAAATATTGTTATGTGAAAGTATTAAGATCCCTATAAAAATGCATGTGTAAGTGTATGTGAGAACGGCGTACTATGCAAAAGCCTCTGATTACAGGTACATACGTACCTGACATGTACATATACCAAGCGCTAGCAGGCTGTGGAATGATGTCCATGATTGAGGGTAATTTAATTGGTTCCATAAAAGAACAATAGATTGTCATTTTTAATATCATAATTTTAATTAATTTCCATCATTTTTGATAGTTTTTAAAAGATTGCGTTAATTGTATCCCTATGCAAAAAGTTCAATTTTTTTTTCAAGGAAGACAACTCTGACCACGATCAAAGTGATTGTAAAATGTAAAATAGATTAATTAAAAACCCATTGTGTATATTTTGTTTAATTTTCCACTACTTTTGTATGAAAGTTTGTGTCCTGTTTGCTTTTAGCTTGTAGGTAATCACTTTTATCCATACAATTTCAATAAAATACACTTAATGTAACGTGTTTTAAATATTTTGTCATAAATAAAATATTTGTAGGGTTAGTTAGCGATGCTTCTTTACATGTTTTATTGTAATTATTGTTCCGAACAAAACCACACACCAAAAAAATGGAAAATATTAAGATTAACGAAAACTTAATTTTTCGATCGAAATGCCTAGATTTTCACAAAATCACCTCTACATAGTTGCATAACAATTATGTGAAAGTTTTAACGAATTCTGGTGGTTAATTGCGAAAGGAGTTGTTTCCCTTTGATTGACTGAAGCAGGTGATAATCCTTTGTGTAAAAGTAAAAACAATCGAATTTCACAATTTACATATAACGCTACCAATAAGCATACTTTACAATTCTTTCCATATACGTTACTCTTTAGACTTACCACGCTCCCAATAAATGTTTTCTCTAGACTTACCACGATACTAATAAATGTGTGTTTCTCTAGACTTACCACATTACCAATAAATGTGTGTTTTCTCTAGACTTACCACGCTACCAATAAATGTGTTTTTCTAGACCTCCCACGCTACCAATAAATGTTTTCTCTAGACTTACCACGTTATCAATGAATGTGTGTTTCTCCAGACTTACCATGATACCAATGAATGTATTTCTCTAGACCTACCACGCTACCAATAAATGTGTTTTTCGAGACTTACCACGATACCAATAAATGTGTTTCTCTTGTCTCATCACACTATCAATAAATGTAATTGTCCAGGTTTTTTAACGCTACTCATCGACGCATTTCATAAGGCATTCAAACTACATTCACAAATGACAGCGTCATCATTATAAAGGTGAATACTTAAACGTTTGCATTTCACTGAGTGTTTGAGTTTCTGCCAAAGTTGTCATTTGTAAGTGGTTTATTTCAATAATTGTGTTTGTCATGTATCTGACGTCAAACGTTTGATTACGGCATTGCATAAGACCGCCCTTCCACCCCTTTCAAAGTCATTTTATTCATTTCAGCAAAATTCTTTTCGGTCTGCTGAATATTGAAATAAGTTTATGTCTACGGAGCCAAGACACTATTAATGAATCATGTCGTTTGACTCACATTCTCTTCACATCACATATTTCTGAATATGATTTTCAACCTTAATAAAACTTTCTCACACATAATAATAAATGTTCCCAGACTCAATCATTGCACACAGGTGTGATATTAATTTTTTTTTTTTTTTTTGTAATGTGAACCATCACCGGTTCATCACTAAGGTATAGTAGGATGCATAGATATGGTGACAGTTCGTAAAAGACAATCTGTGATTATAAATTCAACGAAGAAGCACATCCCCGGTTCCCGGTGAACATTGCTCATGTAAGCGTGTGATTTTACCTGGGACCGAAGACGGAACAACCCAGTTTTGCCCCAGTCTAGCTCTTTCGACTTAATTAAATACATTGATAATGCGATAAAGATCTCTTAACATAGCGCTACTTTAGAATATATAAATAAACACATTGGTAATATCGTAAATGATTGAGATTGTTTACTATTTTACTGGTTAAATAGGATTGTCAAACTGAACTGAAGAAAATGCATCACACTTTGTGAACAAAAGATAATTTTATTCTGAAATGCACTCATGTACTGGAACCTTGTCATGTTCGTGAATAAAGTACCAGAACTCCAGCCTTTGTTTCAACAGACACTTGTAACGCCTGCATTGTCTTTAAAATGAGACACGTCCTGCACATCTACTTTGATGTTATCAGCAATTCCTTAAAAAGTCATTTGGTATAATCGATAATCACACCCTGATCTCCTCTGCCAATAGAAGTTTAAACGTTCGCATATTAATTAACATTATCAATTTGTCATCAAACAAGATTGAAATTGGCTCCTGAAACTTCGGTTAAGAAAGTGGTTATCTTAAATAAAATGACTTATCCCTTCGTATTCCTCGTGAACGAGGACAACACAACTGGTCTTGCATAGTTTAAATAATAAAATACGTAATTTTCAACCTTTTCCATACTTCAAAATAGTTCAGAAATCTTTAATAAAATCCTATTGTGTTCCTCTGATTTAGTATGTGTGTTTGACTCATCCTAAATACATGGATATTTTCAAGATAAGTTTTTCCTATTTCAGGAAATAATTCTAAAAGAGATGATATGTTTGTTGTGTTTTGTTAATTACCAAGGTTATAATTGATGACATTTTTTGATCTACTAGATCGTCTGCTGTTGTTGATATGGAACTCAATATATTCTCATTTTGACCTTAAAGTTCGGCTGGCAAGTTTCCTAAATGTGATTTTCCTTCTTGACGAGGTTCTACATTGTAAATAGAATGAAGAAACAACAATAGATATTAATTTTAACAAGTTTATTTGTTTGTCGTATCGTACTGCAGCAATACAAAAATATACATGTGGTAGATAAGCACACAACGTCACCCCTGATGTCTGAGAGTTTAACACGTATACTTCTCTGACGTCACAGTAAATTAACTGGTGGATGTTACAGTGATAGTCAATGACGTCACTGTATATTCATCGACGTTAGAGGCCGCTGGTCAAGTACAGCAGTAACTTGGAAATGAAATAAAGGTTGATTATTAAATGATTATATTTCTAGATGTACTTGTCAAAAAAACCTTAGAAATACAAAGCAGGAAGCATGTATTGAAAATTTGAGTAAGTTAATGCAGAAAGTCAAAAAAGATAAATCTTTAGTGCACCATATGGGCGTTTCGTACAAATTTATCAATTAATTGTAATTATTAAAATAAGAAATATGATGGAATTTTCAATCATAAGTCGTATATATTTTGCATAAAACTGATAGAACTTATTATTATAAAGTTATCTTTTCAATAGCCTTTGAAATGTGTCATTAAGTACTTTTAGGCAAGTATAAACGTGTTATATGACATTGAATCATGGCAAGTGTAATGTGCTGTCTATGTAACTGTTCATTTACATAATTACATAATTACAAAATAATTTATCACATCTCATTATGCATCCAAGTCGTCGTTTATTCAGCATGCAGCCGACTCTTTTTCTCTCACTTACACTCGACCTGTCCCTAACTCCTCAGTTACAAATCTCCACTTTCCAAATCAAGTGTTTGCTAAACGGAAATATTAATAAACAATTTATTATTATTTTTTATATAAAATGATATTCTCAGTCCCAATAGTTGAGCCTCATGGCCTTCTTCAAGGGCGTCCATAACTATTTTTGGTTCTCTTCAAATGTCTCATATAATGAATTGACCATGATCTTCATTTTGCTTCAAAATAAATTTTGAAAGGTAACGGGAAATCTTATTTTTAGTATATTGACTATTCAAATATTAAAATTGAAAATGAATTGAATAACGAATCTTGAGGCAAACAAAAACATTTGGGATAGAAAATCTGAGATGTCGGGTCCAGTTACACCTATAGATTCAAACACACTCCTGAGCAACACTCATCATTTACGTCTTTCATTGCAAACAATGCACTGATATATACAAACGTCAAGTTTAACAATAAAAGAAGATTATTTCCTCTCATCGGGGTTTTTAGTACAAAAACTTATGCCCAAACTAATCTTGTGTCAACTTCATGTTGGTGGTACTAGATCCTGATCACAGAAAGCAGATCAGTTTAGTTAAACACTGTTTAAGCGTTGTAAACTTGTTCCATTTAGAACTTACGAACACAGCAGAATGGGTTTTAAGTAGTACATGTATATGAAACAACAATAAAGCCGCAAGCGTATAAGACACATTCGTTCAAGACACTGCAGTGCGCATGCGTCAACATTATTAAAAACTGAAAGACAATGGTCAAATACCATTACACACCGATAACGTGGACATGATCAGTTAAAGAGAAAGAGTGAAGAGAAATAGACAAATATTTGAACACGATGTTGGGTATTTACAATGACAAAAACAAACGATCTTAAAATAATTAAACTGTTCTTAGTTAAACTTGCCACTACATTAGTTTTCTACCATAAACTTGCGTTTTCAAAAACAAGTTATAAACAACAGCATGTATTTCGAATAGTTCATCTAAAATTTGTTAAGATTAAAGTTAAGTCATGTCATTGTCAGAAAAAGATGAAAAAAAGAATCAAACAAAAATAATATAGTAAAGCACCTTTGATAAAGAATCATGTTTGCACATTGCCACAAAATATACAAATTCCTTAAGATACAAATAGTTTTGTGAAACAGTGTTACTATAAGTTAAAATCTCACAGGAAGACTTAAACTTAGAATAACTCCGTACAATCAAACTAAAATAGTTCATTCACCTCCATATTGATGCAAGAAAATTTGACTAGTGTCGTCATTGCTTCAGCAACATCGGGAAGGTATCTGGCAGCTTAATGCTGTTTGCAAGACTTGGCGTCGTACAGTTCGATAAGTTTAATCATATTATATAAATTCAATATCCCAACCGACATGAGTAAGGGTATTAGCAACGCGTTGTAAGGTAGCATTTTTGAAGATTCGTAGTAAGACAACATTTTTGAAGATTCGTAGTAAGATAACATTTGGTGAAAGCCAAAAATATATGCTAGACTAACAAAAACAAACGAATTAAAATATAAAATAAATTGGAACAATTTTTGGGAATATCACAATCATTCGTCAATAATTTGTACAATGGTTATTTATCACAATTTAATTTGTTAATTACTTGATATATGACACAATAAGAACACACCTGTCAAATTCTATGATCCAAAGAAATAGTAAGTTTTTTGGAAAATCGATGATTTTTCTTCTTTCAAAACCTGTGTTTTGTGTCTCATCAAAAAAGCAAATTGCAAATGTTTTTGTTATCGTGTTTCGAGAAATAAATAAAAATTGATATAGGCCATGTCAATTTCATGTCATATATCATGTCGTTAATTAATGTTGATGAAAAATGATATGATTCTCGATCACACTCGCTCACTTCCGTATACATTCATTGAACATTCAAGCATGTGGAATAAACACTTTAAATAAAACTATAGACGAGATTCGTTTGGTACTTTTTCTGTTGACGATTTTGGCAGCTTTGAAACAGTTATGACAGACGACGCTGGTGTAAAATTAAGATTGGTAACGTCCGTGAGTTTTGTACTTGTTGATATAGAACTTCCCATAGATTTTGCAAATGCCTGATTGTAGCCACCACCATGAATATTTCCCACATTTGGAAATGAGTCGTCTACGTTGGGGTATTGAATAACGGGTCCAAAGGTTGGATCAGGTTTCATACTTGCTTTCATTAACTGCAAGAAAAATATTATCACAATTAGAAAAATGATGGACAGAGTGAGAAAGATGAGCGTAGGACACAGACAGAGTCAGAGAATGACGATGCTACTATGGTTTATTTTGCCAAAATACAATAGTAGAAACACCAGCATTAGGCCAGGCCCCATCCTGGTATTCCTATATTATTTTTGAAAAATAAACTATAAAACAGAAAAGAACTAGGCATAATCAATATCAATTACACAAATGGTACATTCTGAACTAAAAGTCACTGCAACATTGAAGCTTTCATCCCTAAAACATTATATATTTTTCTTGCGCAATTTCACAAAATAAAAATATATATTAAAAAAACAGGATGTTTTTTATCGATGTTTTGTGAATATTTATTCATATTAATCAACAGGAAAGAAATTACGTTGCTATATAAGAGTTAAAGCTAGCTTACCTCAAATCCACCCTCAATGCAGTATTTGTGCAGGAACAAAGCGGGGATTGCAATAATTGGGAAAAGAGCGATCAACCAGGCGAGAGCGTTGGCCCATGAGGGGTACAATTGTTCGTCCATGCTAGGTGGACTATACATCACAATGTTTAGGATGATGGTGACCTGGAAAAAGGAATAATAATAAGGTGAGAACTAACGTGAAGACAATATTTGTTTTACCAATACCTTGTATATAAATGGATAATAGTAGTTTTCAATTGAAAATGTTTATTTAGTTTTTGGATGAATTCACTTGCATAAGTGTTTAACATCAAATTTCCACTTTGTGTTTATACAATCAATATGGGATAATTTTATTATATCTCTTTTTATAATTTTGCAAAACTTTTATTTTATTTTATTAACGATGTCATATCTTTAAATAATTATATGATTGGCTAAAGCTAGAGATTACTTACACCAATAACACCAGGTGAAACATATTTCCAACAGATTTTCCAATATATGCTTGGTCTTTTTCCCAGCATAGTGTAAATATTGTCCGAGAAGTTATCATAACCTGAAAAAAGAAGTAGGAACGTCATAAGTTGTTTTTTTCAATTAGTTAGGTATTTTTCTATTACAAGATCATTCTGAGGATTGTCTTATTATCTTCCGATAATCTTATTATCTTCCTTTAAAAAGGCTACAATCATTATACTGAAAAAACGTGTAATCCTCACGTAAACATCTAACGTTATAACCTTATAAATATTGATCAGTTATCGACGTCACATGACATGATTTGGTGAAATTGACTACACATGTTATGATCAGGCATATTATCTATAAACAAACATTTTTATATTGAAACACAATGCTTTAAACCGATGCGTTATTGTTTTACTATTTAACTCATTCACCCCTGAAATTTCATAATGAACTTTTCCAACCCTTGATTTGGAAAAGTTTAAATGTTTCTTCAGGGGTAAATGAGTTAAAGGGAAACCCACATGTGATTAGATTGCACCTATTGCTTTAAAGTGATGCGTTATTGTTTAAGTATTTAACCTTTGACCTTTTTAATATTTACCATAAATCCAAGCAACAGCGATGAGTTCCATAATACCAACAACTAACAAGGGGAATCCACCGACACTGTAATCAACGAGGTTCAGCAGCCAGATACCTCCCTGTCAACACAAACATAAACAATAAACAAACAAAGCATATTCAATGCAACTTTATATATAAACAATACATCGTTTCATTATTTAATATGATAAACGTATATGGATACCATATAGAATAAAACTCGTTGTTATTAAAACTACTCATAATTTCCGAATATTTTTGTTTCTATTTCGCATGAATTATTTTCTCTCTCCTATTGATGCAACATTTGACACGATGGGGGAGACGGAGTGATCTCCCTTTGTGCTGATGAATACTTACACTGCAGACCATTGGGAGACCGAGGAAGAAACAGATGATACATCCGACTACTCTGAAGATGATGTTGTTACGGCGTTCACGCAGGATGGGGAACTCGTCAGCCAGAGCACTGAACACGCATTCAACGTAGGAGAACTGGAAGAAAGACGATTTTTACTGAGTACAACAGAAACAACACACTGTTAAAGCTACCAACAAGAAAGTATTGTCTGACGGGTTCATTTTCGTTTTCTAGGAGTAGAAACCAGAGCAGACAACGTCATATATCAAACATACATCGCAGTTTCAATTGGTCAATGTCTGGAAAAATGTTTTCTTTTCAAAAAATCCGTAAATGCATATATATCGTAAAAAATATTGTTTAGGTAATTTATGTTTTAACTTCATTTTGATTTATTAGTGATTTTTTTCAGTCTTCAGGTATATCCACATCTCATTTTGGTGGGTGGTGTTTATGCTTACCTCAGAGCCAAATCCAAGAGTAGCCATCATGATGAAGAAAAACACAGACCAGAGTGGGGCAACAGGCATACGTGCAAGGGCTTCTGGGTAAACCACAAAAGCAAGTCCGGGACCTGAAAAGATGATAAATTAACGTGATGATGACATGTTGAACAGCCACACACAAATATCTTGCAAGTTAGAAATGAATATGCGTTACTTAATGGTCAGATGCATATCGAACCCATGTTCAGGTTGGTACTTAGTGTTGCTCATCTTGGCATTATGTTATCTACATTTTAATGACGTCCTACACAACTTTATACATGCTGCTTTCTGCTGTCACCTTCTTCACAAAAACAAATCATTCTTCAAACCATGGAGTACACAAAATGGAGTATGTCATAAACATACCTCCGTCAGCAACTTTCGAAATGTCCACTCCTTTTTCCTGTGCCATGAAACCGAGGACGGCGAAAATGACCATTCCAGCGAATATGCTGGTACCACAGTTGATGAAGGTGACGATGAGTGAATCCCTGTAAAAGTTGTTGTTGAACTTATTGTAACTGGACATGGCAATCAGACCTCCGGAGCATGCGCTGAGTGAGTAGAAGATCTGGGTGGCGGCATCACTCCACACCCTGGTCTCCAGCAGCTTGTTGAAGTCTGGCTTGAAGTAATACATCAGTCCATCAGCCGCACCAGGTAAGGTGACACCGCGGATAAACAGGATGGTCAGCATTATATAAGGGAAGATGGCTGTGAAATAGACAACCTGAAACGGACAAATAACATATTAATGCAAATCTTAAAACTATTGAAGCAAAACTACGTATACCGGTTCATCGCATGTATAATCGCAAGGACAGACTTTAGTATCTCCGTCAACACAGGTTTCTACAAGATCTTGTTAATGTTATTTAAATGGAATTAGAATTGGAAATAATTTACAATAAGTAGTGACGTCACGTACCTTTCCTAGAGACTGGATTCCTCTTAGTAGTACGAGGCATACGATCACCCAGGCAAGAAGAAGCGTCAAGGCAAGATGCCATTCTATCTTTCCTATATCGTCAATGGAATCCGTCTGCCCAAGGACGTAATTTCTGTAAAATGATTAGATGGTTCATTATTGAAATGCTCAACGTACAAAACCCTGTCACTCCGCAGTGGGTGGAGCTAGGGTGGGCCATAACTACACATGCTTGGTTATATAGTTATATCATACCCGTACCTGTAATATTCCTCGCTAGGCGTTTTGCTGACATTGGAGTGAGCGGTGTGGTTTACAGAACCTATAAGAAAAAGATTAAGAACCCTGATTATCTTCGTACTTGGAGTCTCTTTAAGATACTACAGTGAGCATGCGCTATATTCCTAAACCCAGAAGGAACACAAACCACCGAGAATAGAGGGGACTATGAGGAGCAATGAAGCGTGATGCGTATTGTAATGACGGGTATATGCATACGGTAAAAGATGAAGCGTTTTACAACAGAAGAGAGTGGGTCTCTAAATGAAACCCCCTCTCATTATGGGAAGTGCGAGTTAGTTCAGGAGGATGACGAGGGCCCGGATGGAGGTTTGTGTCTGTTCCCACTGGGTGTAGTAATACGATACAGTGGTAGTTAAGAGACACTTACCATTTAAATGCTGCTCGAACGTGATGCAGTTCGGAGTGTTCCAGTCGTTATCACACGATTGCCACGGTAATTTGTCGGTGAAGGACGAGTACAGGTAGAACAGCACGTGCGAGATGATCACATTGTAGTACAATCCAATCAACCATGAGACAATCACCGAAGCGTAACCTAAACCTGTAATGCAAGTAAACATTGAATTTACCAAATGCTGTTTCATTCATAGTGAAATGGTAACGTCATAAATAGCAAGTGCAATGGAATTTAAACATATGTTACAAATTGACATAATTTTGACGGTTCGAAATTATATCTTCCTTTGCTACATATTAATATTTTTTTGCATCATAACTCATTCGATGGTCGTGTCGTAAAGATTAAATTTACCTTTCAGCAAGGGATTCATCTTCCAGACAGAGATAGGCCCCAAACTTGCGTACTGGCCAATGCCCAACTCAAGGAAGAACAGAGGTAGACCGACTATACCCAACATAATAGTGTAGGGCACCAAAAATGCGCCTGTAAAATAAAATGAAAATATTATAATTCAAAGTTCATATATCAACATTGATTATAAATATTAATTTTATTATATCAGCTGAGAATTTATAATTAACGGAATAATAAACCAACAAGCAGGTATTCGGATAAGCGATTCTAACTTCATATATTTAGGAGTGATTTGATTACAGATAAATATCAATTAAATATATCATATTTTGGGATATCAAATATGTATTTTAATGAATACACATATAAAAGTGGTGAGGAGGAAGTGTACAGCTTGGTTATACAGTGTGTGTATCACTGTGAAGGAGATATATCCGGTAGTCCGCTTCCTGTTCGTTCTCTCGTTATAAAGATATCGTGTATTTACGGGAACCGAAATATTTCCGGACGGAAATACTTGAAGTGGACAACACAGTGTACATTGGATTTTTTCTGCATATGTGCATTATAGTTTACATTACCAGCCTAATGGTTGATATTTCCCCAGAGAGTCTGGCGACAGTTTATCTTAAAATGCTGTGGGAAATAATGGGCATTGGATTGTTATTATTAACAAATTTATCAAAGGTGAAAAGTCCTCTGGTGTTATATGTTATTAGTTGTATATATGGTATACACAGATGGGCAGTTCACATCGTCTTTACCCAGAAATATGTTCACATATAATTTAGTCATTTACATACAACAATTCAGGCGTGACATAAAACAGAAATATATCCGATAGGGATTCCGTGGAAAATTACCAAATGTATTTATCCCCGCATGCAAAATGCTATAGGCATAAAACACGACCGCCTGTTTTATTAACAAATGAAAAAAATCAATACTCCGTCGCTATAATCTTCTTTTTCTCGTGTATTAAATTTTATCGTCGCCAGGAATAAAGTATTAACTCACCGCCGCCATTTTTATAACACAGGTACGGAAATCGCCAAACATTTCCCAATCCGACCGCATAGCAGATGCACGTGAGCAGGAACTCGAGTTTTCCACCCCAGGTGGCTCTTTCCTCCTCATTTCCGCTTCCGGTGCTCGTGCTTGTGCTGTCATTGCTTCCCTCGGAGCACTTTTCTGGAAGACTGCATGCAAACTCGTTTACTTCAGACTAAAAAATACAAAAGATATAAAAACACATTAGATAAATTTGACAATTGCATCTGGAGGTTTTAAAATGCATGTTCAACCCAATTCTGCGCGATTGTTACTAAAAACGTTTGGTTGAATGTTTTATTTGTATATTTATAACATAGTTTTATTTTTGAATGATGTTTTAGTAGGTTGTGTAGTGTTATTAGTCACTATAAATGCCAAGCTGTTGCAGCCGACTGCTGACTCAGAGAGCACGAGTAACGTCAAGCTGTGTCCTCTCCTATTCATCTTCCTGGGAAAGACCTACTGAAAATATTTATAGATTGTCACTATGTCGGGTGATCATCTCTTTATAACAAATATACATCAAAGCAAATGTTGTGTCACAAGGGAATTTTGTTCCAGAGTAACATTTAAGAAGTAGAATGCACCAGTAAGTCAACACTTAGAATCTTTATTTGATGATTGTAGTACAACACATTTATAGGAAAACATGACAAGGTATCATCACCTGTATGTTATGTCAAAAAATATTATTATTTGATGCTTAATTGATTATATATGCAGCACTATTAACTTAGGTACGTTTGTTCATTCGACAAGTATCAATTGCTTCTTTTAACACTTTCACACAAATTGCATCCATGATTCTCTTTTGGCAATGAAAAATTGTGTAGGAGGATTCCCTGCCAAGTGTTATGGAAATTTTCCGTTCCATCATTACATCTAAGCTACTGACGTCTCGTGACTACGTCAGTGGATCTGTTTTTCATCTAATCGTAATGTACCGACTGTTAATTATCCTTACTCTTGGTTAATTAGTAAGTCCCCATAAGTCACATCTCTTTGTGACAGTAACAACCAACTGATGGTGAAGTACTTAATATATAAATCCGCCATTGTGTGTTTTGTTGTGATAAATCGGATTTCTAGGCGGGGGGAGAAGGGTCGAGGTATATCTTAGTTTTAACCACCTGAACGGTATGGACACGACATGGGTCACATAATCTTACATATTTTACCTTTCGTACTTTTGGCCGAGACATACATTCTTGTAACATTCCGTGTTTAATGCTGATCCAGTACAATAGGTTATTTTTCGCATAAATAGACAGACCAACGACGTATTGTTAAGGTTAGCAATCAGCGGTAGTATAGTACTACGAACTATTTGTATTTAAAAACTTCATTGTCAAGTCCAAATGTTTTTGTTATTAGTAATATATGTATTAATATGTTGATAAAACGAAATTGTGAAAACCTCACAAATGCTGTCATAATGATAAGATTACTTTTCATTTTATGGAATATCAATGTATCGTTCGTAATATGTCCCTTGTTAGTAATCTATAAGGTCACTAGTTTGTTAGAAAGATGAGAAGTACACAGTACGTTTGCTAATTAATATGATTTGTATTATTCATGTCTTGTATAAACCAACTATTTGTACGTGAAGTTTGAATTCTAACCTACCTACAATTTTATAATACTGTGTTCTACAATTACAAATCGTTTTTACTTAATTTTATGTTATTGATTTAAGCATAGGAACACTTACAAGTTATGTGTTAATTTATTCAAATTGATATAATTCAATTTTAAAAGTATCAGGTTTTTTAAAGTGTGTTGCTAGCCATTTTAAATTCGTCGTTAAGATATCCTGCTTACGTGCTTAATGTACCTTGAAAAGGAGCTATCTACCTTTCTAACATTAATGCAATATCCTTACAACGCCAAGAACCAATCAAAACGGTTGATGAACTGTAGTCCAGAAAGAACCAGCTGTTCTCCGCTAAAGCAATTGTGGAAATTTACCGGCACGCGCTGGCATTCGCCTTCCCTGACAACTACCAGACTCAGTTGTTTTCTCACAACAGCGGTCGATTATCGATCTAGGGATGACTGCATATCAAACAATTCGTAAAGAAAGCGAAAAATAAAATGAAAGCGTCGGGTTTATATCTTGTTAAATGTTATATACAACGCACTTTGAGATCGTTGCTAATGCATAGTGCGATTTATTGCAAGCGTAGTTTACAGAGGTTAATGGCCGTTTGCATTTACAGCAACCAGCATTACCATAAACATAATTGCGTGAGATGTGAGCTTGTTGTGGTAGTTTATCATAGGATTTCTGGGCAGGCGCACTAGCACCTTATGGAAAATCACCATGGTTTGAATGAAATTAACTTCCTCAAATAGCTTTCTTCTTCTTATAAAATGTATCCGTTAATGACAAATTCTAGGAAATGTCTATATTTAGATGTTGTTGTGAATTGGTAGAAAATGTTATTTGCAATGTTGCACGTTGTTATTATTTACAATGAGGTACTACCTCTCATCTCGTATTTCCGCTACTCTACAAACATTCGCGCAGGGTGATTTATCGCCTCGTTACCATGGTTTCTATCCTTCCACTGATGTGAGACTCTGCTGGGTCTGGAACGTGATGCTGCATGCAGTGTTAACAGAGTTTTTACCTCTAATGTAAATGTACATTTGTATTCAGAGCCACCAATGACGAAGGTTTGGGGGGTTGAACGTGGGTTATCAGTCTATTTATAGTTGTCTATATACATGAATCTTTGGAATGTTATGAATGTTCATTTCTGGGGTTGGGCTTTGTATCTTTATGTTGTACATATCTGGAATATGTTTGATAAAGAAAAGATTGTGTTTGGCCAAAATGGATTGTTTTGTTTATTCATTCACATTCCATCTAACTCTATTGAACTAGCTTGTTTCTAAACTAACTCGGTGTAGCATAATTAAGTTGTAAGAAAACCGGTTCCGTTCATTGAATAAAAGCATAAAACGTGGCACATATTGTTTCGTTCATATGAAGCGGATTTTTCCTTCCTTTCTCTATTATACACTAACAAAGGGGTCACTTGAGTGTTTGCTGTAAGCGTAAGGTTACTAACCGGCAGACGCTCGATTGATCTTGATCACACATCACACGCGTGCGGTTGTGTGTGTGTCACTAAGTCGTTAACAACAGGCGGCAAAATTTTCCACGATCAATTTTCATGTAAACTACACAAGCTGACAAGCGCAAGCTAACAATACTTTCCGTGTTATCATTATCTTCTACTTATGGCGTTCGGGTTAACAATAAAGGAAACATGTCGATTTTATGAAGATAAAATAGACGTATGGTATTTATTACTCTTGGAATAGACAGTTCGAGTATTACCAGACGTTTCCAGATGTAAAAACTGTAAGGATGTGTGGTTTGTATGTATTAGCTGCCATGTCTGGAAAACATTCCGGAAGCTTCCATAACATAAATTTCACAATGCGTTTGATATGCTGTCGAGAAATGTGTAAGCCGATCTTTGATGTATCAAAAAGGAATGCTAGGCGGGCAGGGGTGTGTAGCTACACATGAACAAATCGTTGGCATGGGCAAGTTTTACCGATTAAACGTCATTTTATAACAAGGAACAATTTTAAATGGTAAATCCGAATGAGGATGCATAAATACAATAGATGAAGGTTACGCGGATGCATGTAAAAGACCAAACTCGAAGTGCAAACAGTAATATACTCGAGTTCGAGAACCGTTAAAAAGAGCGCCAACTCTAATAAAAAGCGGCTTTGTGAAAAATCGCGCTTGAGAGGTTTCATTGTACGAGTTAAATAATTTGTTCACGTATCCGTCCCTTGTTAAGATTTATCCTATATTTTTTCTTTTTATTTAAAGAAATTGCTTTTACATTACGGGTGAGTGTCACTGTGCTGCACAAAATATATTTCCATTCATATGATGCGTCAATAAATCAAGTATTTTGAACAAGAGCGGGCGGTATGTTAGTGGAACGGCAAAAATATGTCTCGAAATATTTTTGAACGTAGTAAAAGCTAGCATTATATGTTTTCTAGATAGTGCATGTTAAATCGTGATAATTAAAACGGTTTCTTATGTTAGGAAAATGCTCAATGCAAATGCAAAATTTAAAAAACTTGAAAAAATATGTATCTAACATCTTTAAACTAACAAAATAATGTAATTGTTGCATGCCTTGTTATAAATTAATTTGTTTTATATTTTTTTCCTGGTTTGTAATTGTTTTGCTTTCCACGTGACTTGACTTAGATTGAAATTGTAGCGGACAATCTAATTGGTAAATATTATGAAAAATTTGTTAAATAACAAAGATAAATATTGGACTCACCACAGATACAACGGTCACTTCATTAGCCATGTGTGCACCAGATCCTGGACCTTTCGGGAAAATATAGTCCGTCTCTCTTTCTCCTTCGGCACTATCGTTTAGATTAGGATACATGATAGCCTTCATTGTTGAATTACCAGTAGATATTATAAGGGCTGGTTTTATACATGTATTTTAATATACTTTTGTATTTAAGGTGTTGTTCCTCTGAGCGCAGATTTTAGAACAAGCCGGATTGAAGAATACGCCAGTATATATTTTCTCTTCCCAGTATCTTTCCATAGCTATTTTTAGACCAACGTCATGGAAAATCCCCTCCGCGCCCTAGACCAATACAAGCTGGAGTATTGCTGCAATTAGTATGAATATTTGTCTGTTCCACATTATCATAAATGGCATCTAATGTGATTCATCTTTTGTAGAAATATGTTGGAGTCTGATTTTCGTTTGTGTTAAGATAAAAGATAAAATGTTCATGAAAACAAACATCCTCTATACCTGACCTGCCTTATGTACAAAACAACCTTCCCGGCGAACCGTTATAAAAGGCGCGTTTCTGTACTAAGATGTAATACATTGATTAAAATGTGTTTAGTATTCTATGTTTTTTATGTTTGCTGTGGTATTTGTCCACTTGAGATAACAATACATGGATTTATGTTAATGCATGAATGCGAGCGGTTTGTTTATCTTTTTTAGTCGAGGGGCCACACCAAGGGGTAAGTATTACTATCATAAAGAATTTTATGATAAAAGTGCTAAATCTGAACTTTAATTTAATATATCAATATATTCGTTATTTGGCGTATTTTAAACTACAAACTTTCATATAATCTATACCATCGTGTGACATAAATATAATTAATATCCTGGAACTATTTGTGTAAATTGTTTCTCCTGAACTTGTGTCAATTTAGATAAGTTCTATTTATGAAGCTTTTCCTTTAAAGTCGACATGTGTCATTGTTGTCAGATTAACTCATGCATTTATTTCGTCCATCTTATACCACATATCTTTCAACTTAATTATATTACGTAACAGGATTAACTGGTCATGCCAGACCGGACACTGCATTCAGTCTCAGACAAAGGACAGCTAAATTGGCTTACCTGATCGGTGCGGCCGGGGTCTGAAAGGCCGATTGCTATGAATGACAGATGTCACTCAACCTAATTACTTAATTGCTATTGTGTAAATGTACTTAGGACATGATTATGATTTGTAACTTGAGTTAGGACCTAGGCATCGGACTGTACGGGTGTGTTTTTGGATACTCCAGAAATCACCCACCGACCTAGAGAAAGTTATTCTAATAAATTTATATTTGGACCATACAACATCTCCAGAACTTTTACTTTTCAAATTAGATAACAACACCCTACAAAAGTGTTGTTATATTATATTATATTACTATAGATTCTATAAGCGCGCGTCGTCTCTCATACCAGTGAGATACGATCTTTCAGTGTTTTATATTATATATAAAACTTTTAAAGTAAAATTACCTGTGTTTCGTTAGTTTATCCTTTGATTTGATATGTATTTAGTATATAATTGGTGTTTTGAATCCGATGTTGGTGGACATTAAACGGTCCACTTAACAACAATGCTGACCGACTTATGTTGAGATTTGATAAACACGTTCTGTTTACACATTTTCTCATATCACAATGAGTAAGTTAATTAAACTGCGGAGAATGAGCTTGTTTCAGAACAGGCATAAGTTATGCATTTAATTAACTTATAAGTTTACTCGTATATGTTCTTTAGAATATTTTGTTTTATTTGCCTTCGAATTACAAAAGACAGATAAACATTGAATAATGTATTTTCAGTTTTAATTTAACAGTTATAATATGATATATCATTGCTCCTCAGGGTTGTCCTTTAAATACCATTAAGCCTCTATCATCCATCAAAAGTGTGTTTCTTTAAAACTTTGTTAGGTTTTGGAATTATATCATGCATTAATTCACACTAGCCTGTCGTGGTTATTGTATTCCACGATAAATAAATATTTATCCAACAAATGTTACTTTGGACGAAATATAAAATTTTGTAAAAATTAATACTGTTTTTGTGTATATTTATGTTGCTTGCATGAGTAATGTGTTTACACTAAATGTTAATGTATACAAATTAATCTTACAGATATTTTTGGACTTATTCCAAAAGTCGAGAGTAATTTATCTAAAGATTCTACATACTTGTATAACGTACGTTCATATTACCAGCCTGACAGCATACATGTTTGACATTGTCAGACCTATTTATTTTATTTTCTCTACATAAATAGTTTTTTTATGACCACAAAGGATTATTAACATCCATTATAGATGTCAAGTTTGAATGTAAGCGGTACTTTTAATATTCAGCTATTTTCCTCTTAATTCATAGTATGAACCTTTCAATATGGAATGTATAAAAAGCCAGCTGTTATACACTTTCAATCACCTGTTGACATTAAAACATTCACATCGTTGCTTCATGTTCAGCCTTATCATGATAACATTATGTAATGATAATACACTATACATCTCTAACTTCACAATCCTTAATCAACACGTACTATATCTCTTCAAATCTTTTATTGTACTTTCATGTTAGACATTCATGATAAAATAGAGTTATATAAGAACAAGTGTCCCTGCATTAAAACTGTTGTTCCTGAACATAAATATTTGACACATAAACACCAAAAGCCAATAAAACTTAAATGAAGAGACTGACTATATTTGTATAAAATTGATCGTCTTCGTATTAATAAAAATCGTTTTAGACATAGATATTGGTTTTCTACCTTTAGTAACAAACAGGTATATTCATTTTAGAAAATACCGCAAAAACGCTTATAGTGTTTATACCGCTTCTTCACTGTTTATAATTCACCATGCTGGGCTTAATTGTTCAAGGCTTAATTTTTTAAAGCATGGCAAGCTTATCTAGTTATTACCATAATTTGTTTCAGAATATATTGCTATTGTAGATAAAATTGTTTGAAAAATTACCAAATATTTTTGCATTTTTTCATATTACTTGCACAGAAAAAGCATTATAAAACAAAACAAAAGTTCTGGTGGAAAGTTCAACTGTGTACAGCCCTAATGAAATGTTCGTTCATATCAATATTCATTATATGAACATTTATAAGTTAAATAAAACAAAAATATGAAGTGGTTCATGTGAGATGGTTCACATTACTTATGCGTTAGTGTTTGTATTAATATTATTTCTATCTTGTACTTATCTATTTTTTTCTATATACAACATTCAAGTTGATATATGGGCAAATACGGCAGTGCAGACAAAGAACAATTGTCATTTTTTTAGGGCGGCACAAGACAAAAATATGAACATGAACATTTACATATCACAACATATAACAGATATAAACAGTCACCATGATACAATAATACAACAAAAAGTACATAAACAAAACAACAGTAGTCAATTATATGTAAAAACTTTACTCGTGGTAACAGTCTAATCAATATCTGTCAATCAAAGCAACTGCAATGTTTCACTGAAGTTTATTGCGGTAACTGAAATTTCAAATGCTTAATATTTTACACCGTTGTGAACATACGGGTCACTGGTCATTTGTCTGATGAAGGTGACGAGTACATACCGCACTAGTCATCAAAACGTCACATGAAATAAACACTTATTGGCTGTGCTACATGAATCTTCACAATCCATACTTACCAACCTGAAGAAAATGTTTAGAAAACAATAATAAGGGTTGAATGTTGTCAGATCATCGTTTGGGTTTAAAATCAAACCCTCCTGTTTCTACCGAGGGATTATGGGGGTACATAGCAATCGGAAAATAGCCATTTTGATAGTGAGCTGGCCAGTGAAGGTGTTCTAAAGATAAATGGCTAGCTATGAGCACGGAGATGTTTCTTGTCTTATGCAGTGACATCGTTGCATTAAATATCTAAATGACACCCATCTGTGCTACGTTATTAACAAGAAACGGAAGCCATTTATCATAAAAACACTAATTAAAACAGTCCACACGCTGTTTTAATATTACATAACATATATTATACTAGAGCTGACTAATTAGAACGATTAAATGCAATGCAAATAACTGGTAGGTTTCAGTTGTCATCAAAAATTACGTAGTAACGAAAATAGCATTACCTCTCGTCCCATGAGTGCACGCGTGATCCTCATGAAAATATTCAATAGTCTGACTCTGTTAAAATGGTATGGAACATAATAATTATGTTAATAGCGAATCATACATTTGGAAATTTCCCATCACCATGTCCCTTATACTTCGGAAATTTACAAATCGCATGTAACATACATGTACGTGACATATGATTATAATATTGCTAATATTTGTGATAAAATCATGTATATATGACATGATAGGGATATACGAATATATCACACACGGTTTGATAAACTTGTGAGCATCAGATATTTCATGGCATTTGATGTTTATGTAACAGTTTAAGATCAGTGTTATATTTCATAAGCCTCCGTGTAGCAAATAGTTGACGATATCATGGGTTGTGTAACAGTTTAGGTCGAGTGTTGTTTTTCACACATTTTTTTCCATAAACTTGTGAGTTGCATATAAAACAGCTTGTGGTGAGAAATGAACAACGTTTAAAAACGTATCTTACGATTCATAGGTATGATATGCAGATGTTATATGTAGACTGTGATTCCTCAATAGATTACAAGTGGTTGAGGCGTCTGACAGTCTGCTACCACTAGCCCTCCACCACTGGATCACGGGTTCGAGGCCAACGTAGAGCAGTCGCCAGGTACTTGGCGTAGGTCGGTTGTTTTTCTCCGGGTACTCCGGCTTTCCTCCGCCACCAAAATCAGACACGTTCTTAAATGACCATAGCTGTTAATAGGACGTTAAACCCCAAAACAAACAAAAAGATAGCATTATCCTTCCTGATCCTCATGTAAGCTTGAACTGGCAACTAGCCAATTACAAAAAAAAAATGTCTCAAGAGAACAAAAGCTATGCATTAATGTGTTGCAGTTTAGAAGGAAGAAACCAGCAAGCTAGAAAAGCATACATCATGCATAATAATTAAATTCCAACAAATCAGATGCGGAAAACTTATGCTTAAATCTGATGATCCTAAATTTATACACGATTCTTGCTTCTTAAAACAGTCATTAGAACTGACGAGTGTGAACTTGCTAAAATCATGAGTTAGGGATATAATTGACTTAGCTTTTTACACGTATTAAATATGTTGTTTTATTTCA